CCAGTCCTGGTTCAGTCCTTTTGCTCTATGTTCCCATTTCCTTTATCATCAGTTTACATCAGATTTTATTTCCATTTCTCCCAGTTTGGATTCAAATCATCTAAAGAAGCAAAATGTTTGAGGTTTGATTCAGGTTTGACTTCCTCTGTGACTCTGTCCTTTTACACTGAACAATAAAAATAAACAAAACATGTGGCAAATAAAAAACTTAAGTTACACATTTTATGCACTTTTCTGAAAACAGAAAGAGTTTATCACTTTTTCAACTTTTTATGTGTCAGGAACAAGAAGTTTGCAAATTATCTCCACTTAAGACAAAAAAAAAATACAAAGCTCAATTTATTACATTTATTATGTTTATTATATTGACTGTATTTGTTATATTTATTATATTTATTGTATTTGTTATATTTATTATGTTTATTGTTTATTATATTTATTATATTTACTGTTGCTTCACTTTAGCAAAGAAAGTGTCAAAACTAAGTCCAGGAACAGAACCCGTCAGTGCACTATAAAAATAAAAATGACATGACTTAGACTTATTTTGAGAAAAATCTTAGAAATGAGGAAACACAGAGCTGACCCCGTTCAATCCTGGTCTAGTCCTGATTTAGTCCTGGTCTAGTCTCAGTCCAGTCCCGGTCTGGTCCGGGTCTCGGTCCGGGTCTCGGTCCGGGTCTCGGTCCGGGTCTCGGTCTCACCTTGGCGATCTGCACACACCAGGTGAGGAGGCGCTGGGCGGGGATCAGGTGCTGATGTTGTCGGACGTGATCCAGGAGGCACCCGAACGGCATCAGCTGAGTGACGAGCTGCACCGACGACGCCAACACCACCCCGAGGAGCCGCGCCACGTGAGGGTGCTCCACGCTCGCCATCACGTACGCCTCCTGCAGGAGACGAGAGGTACTGCATCAAAACACACACACACACACACACACACACACACACACACACACACACACACCCCGAGGAGCCGCGCCACGTTCTCGCACAAGTACATCGTAATCCGCCATGATGCGTGGTAGCGAGTGTTAGCCTGTTGTTTTGTGGATCTCCGGTGGCGAACTGATGCTCGCGTTTTTCCAAGTCGATTCACTTAGATTAAGTCGCCATCCAGTATGGTTTTCTGGTGTATTTCTCTCCCCTTTTATCTTATCTCCAATTTACAAGATTTATTTGACCATTTGAGGCGGGCTGGTGTTAGTTCTGTGGTTCTGGCGGGAAACTCTCACCGCAACGTGATGTTCTAATGCCCCTGGGTCTCCATGGTGACAGAACTCTGCTTGATGACGTCATCAGAGAAGCACGACGCTGCTTTAAAGTAAACTCTGACTACTACTGACTACTGCGTTTACTACGACTACTGCGTGTACTGCTACTACTGCGTTTACTACGACTACTGCGTGTACTGCTACTACTGCGTTTACTACGACTACTGCGTGTACTGCTACTACTGCGTTTACTACGACTACTGCGTCCACTACGACTACTGCGTGTACTACGACTACTGCGTGTACTGCTACTACTGCGTTTACTACGACTACTGCGTGTACTACAACTACTGCGTGTACTACAACTACTGCGTGTACTGCTACTACTGCATTTACTACGACTACTGCGTCCACTGCGACTACTGCGTGTACTACAACTACTGCGTCCACTGCGACTACTGCGTGTACTACAACTACTGCGTGTACTACCACTACTGCGAGTCTGAGGTACTACTACTGCGTGTACTACCACTACTGCGTGACTACTGCGTGTACTACAACTACTGCGTGTACTACAACTACTGCGTGTACTACAACTACTGCGTGTACTACAACTACTGCATGTACTACAACTACTGCGTGTACTGCGACTACTGCGTGTACTACAACTACTGCGTGTACTACAACTACTGCGTGTACTACAACTACTGCATGTACTACGACTACTGCGTGTACTGCGACTACTGCGTGTACTACAACTACTGCGTGTACTACAACTACTGCGTGTACTACAACTACTGCATGTACTACAACTACTGCGTGACTACTGCGTGAACTACTGCGTGTACTACAACTGGCGTGTACTGAACTGTGTACTACAACTACTGCGTGTACTGCTACTACTGAGTGTACTACAACTACTGCGTGTACTGCTACTAGAGCTACTACTGCGCGTTTACACTAGAGCTTTTCTCTCTCTACTGCATATTTAAACAGAAAAAATGAGCTGGCGTCATTTTGGAAAATTTCAACCTATGGTCCCCCAAATCTTAGAGACTGAGAACCAGGATCTGCACAAGAGGATCCAAAACTTAGAAAATAAGAACAAGCAACAAAACGAGACGATCCAAAACTTAGAAAATAAGAACAAGCAACAAAACAAGACGATCCAAAACTTAGAAAATAAGAACAAGCAACAAAACGAGACGATCCAAAACTCATTATGTAATAATAATAAACTGCTCGAGATGAACAAAAGATTAATCGATCAGAAGCAGCAACAAAACGAGACGATCCAAAACTTAGAAAATCAGAACAAAGATCTGTGCGAAAGGATCGAAAAGTCCTCGGTTAAGAACCAGAAGCTGCAGGAGGTGAACCGAATGTTTTCGTGCATCATCCACTTACACTTGGAAGAACAGACCAAGAGGATCTGCCTGCAGCTGGAGTCGCTGGAGAAAGTTCAGATGAGGTGTGATGAAGCAGAAGGTGAAGTCTGCCCACACCTACGAGATCTGTGTTGTGTGTGTGTGTGTGTGTGTGTGTGTGTGTGTGTGTGTCTGTGTGTGTGTGTCTGTGTGTGTGTGTGTGTGTGTGTGTGTGTGTGTGTGTGTGTGTGTGTGTGTGTGTGTGTGTGTGTGTGTGTGTGGTGTGTGTGTGTGTGTGTGTGTGTGTGTGTGTGTGTGTGTGTGTGTGTGTGTGTGTGTGTGTGTGTGTGTGTGTGTGTGTGTGTGTGTGTGTGTGTGTGTGTGTGTGTGTGTGTGTGTGTGTGTGTGTGTGTGTGTGTGTGTGTGTGTGTGTGTGTGTGTGTGTGTGTGTGTGTGTGTGTGTGTGTGTGTGTGTGTGTGTGTGTGTGTGTGTGTGTGTGTGTGTGTGTGTGTGGTGTGTGTGTGTGTGTGTGTGTGTGTGTGTGTGTGTGTGTGTGTGTGTGTGTGTGTGTGTGTGTGTGTGTGTGTGTGTGTGTGTGTGTGTGTGTGTGTGTGTGTGTGTGTGTGTGTGTGTGTGTGTGTGTGTGTGTGTGTGTGTGTGTGTGTGTGTGTGTGTGTGTGTGTGTGTGTGTGTGTGTGTGTGTGTGTGTGTGTGTGTGTGTGTGTGTGTGTGTGTGTGTGTGTGTGTGTGTGTGTGTGTGTGTGTCTGTGTGTGTGTCTGTGTGTGTGTGTGTGTGTGTGTGTGTGTGTGTGTGTGTGTGTGTGTGTGTGTGTTGTGTGTGTCTGTGTGTGTGTGTGTGTGTGTGTGTGTGTGTGTGTGTGTGTGTGTGTGTGTGTGTGTGTGTGTGTGTGTGTGTGTGTGTGTGTGTGTGTGTGTGTGTTGTGTGTGTGTGTGTGTGTGTGTCTGTGTGTGTGTGTGTGTGTGTGTGTGTGTGTGTGTTGTGTGTCTGTGTGTGTGTGTTGTGTGTGTTGTGTGTTTGTGGTGTGTGTGTGTGTGTGTGTGTGTGTGTGTGTGTGTGTTGTGTGTGTGGTGTGTGTGTGTCTGTGTGTGTGTGTGTGTGTGTGTGTGTGTGTGTTGTGTTGTGTGTGTGGTGTTGGTGTGTGTGTGTCGTGTGTCTGTGTGTGTGTGTGTGTGTGTGTGTGTGTGTGTGTGTGTGTGTGTGTGTGTGTTGTGTGTCTGTTGTGTGTGTGTGTGTGTGTGTGTTGTGTGTGTGTGTGTGTGTGTGTCTTACGTCGAGGATTTCCTGGTTTGCTTTTGGAGACGTTGCTTCTCTCAGGACTTTAATGGCCACACGGATCTTCACCTGCTCCCCCTCCGGAAACCACAGGCCCTGAAACCAGACCCAGACCAGACCTGAGACCAGACCAGACCAGACCTAGACCAGGACTAGACCCAGACCAGACCTGAGACCAGACCTGAGACCAGACCCAGACCAGAGACCAGACCTGAGACCAGACCAGAGACCAGACCAGAGCCCAGACCTGAGACCAGACCAGAGACCAGAGACCTGAGACCAGACCTGAGACCAAGACCTGAGACTAGGACCAGGACTAGACCTGAGACCAGACCAGAGACCAGACCCAGACCAGACCTGAGACTAGGACCAGGACTAGACCAGAGACCAGACCAGAGACCAGACCAGACCAGACCTGAGACCTGAGACCAGACCTGAGACCAGAGCAGACCTGAGACCAAGACCAAGAGACCAGACCAGACCAGACCTGAGACCAGACCAGAGACCAGACCAGACCAGCCAGAGACCAGACCAGGACCAGAGACCAGAGACCAGAGACCAGACCAGCAGACCTGAGACCAGAGACCAGAGACCAGACCCAGACCAGACCTGAGACAGACCTGAGACCCCAGACCAGACCAGAGACCAGACCAGGAGACCGACTGAACCCAGACCAGACCAGACCAGACCAGACCAGACCAGACCTGAGACCAGACCTGAGACCAGAGACCAGACCTGAGACCAGACCTGAGACCAGACCTGAGACTAGACCAGGACTAGACCTGAGACCAGACCAGAGACCAGACCCAGACCAGACCAGACTAGACCAGGAGACCAGAGACCAGACCAGACCCAGAGACCTGAGACCAGACCTGAGACCAGACCTGAGACCAGACCAGAGACCAGAGACCAGACCAGAGACCTGAGACCTGAGACCAGACCAGAGACCAGACCAGAGACCAGAGACCAGAGACCAGACCAGAGACCAGAGACCAGAGACCAGACCAGAGACCAGAGACCAGACCCAGACCAGACCTGAGACCAGACCTGAGACCAGACCAGAGACCAGACCAGAGACCAGAGACCGAGACCCAGACCTGAGACCAGACCAGACCAAGACCGAGACCAGACCAGAGACCAGAGACAGAGAGACCAGACCAGAGACCAGAAGACCAGAGACCAGAGACCAGAGACCAGAGACCAGACCAGAGACCAGACCCAGACCTGAGACCAGACCAGAGACCAGAGACCAGAGACCAGAGACCAGACCAGAGACCAGAGACCAGAGACCAGACCAGAAGACCAGACCAGAGACCAGACCAGAGACCAGAGACCAGAGACCAGACCTGAGACCAGACCTGAGACCAGACCTGAGACCAGAGACCAGACCAGAGACCAGAGACCAGACCAGACCTGAGACCAGGACGAGACCAGAGACCGTTTCTGATCCCGGTTTGATCCGTTTACCTTGTAAACCGTCCCGAAGGCTCCAGACCCCAGGACTCGGACTCTCTTCAGCTCGGTCTCCTTCAGGATCCGGAGCAGGGCCTGGTTCGGCGCTTGGCCACTGGGAGTCAGAGGCTCCACCAGCTGAGGACACAGACAGGTGAGACAGGTGAGACAGGTGAGACAGGTGAGACAGGAGAGACAGGTGAGACAGGTGAGACAGGTGAGACAGGTGAGACAGGTGAGACAGGTGAGACAGGTGAGACAGGTGAGACAGGAGAGACAGGTGAGACAGAGACAGGAGACAGGTGAGACAGGAGAGACAGGTGAGACAGGTGAGTGAGAGTGACAGTGAGAGACAGGTGAGACAGAGAGTGGACAGTGAGACAGGTGAGACAGACAGTAGAGAGTGACAGGTGACAGAGACAGGTGAGACAGGTGAGTGACAGGTGAGACAGGAGAGACAGGTGAGACAGGTGAGACAGGAGAGTGACAGGAGAGACAGGAGAGTGACAGGAGAGTGACAGGAGAGACAGGAGAGACAGGTGAGACAGGTGAGACAGGTGAGACAGGTGAGTGACAGGTGAGACAGGTGAGACAGGTGAGAGACAGGAGAGAGACAGGTGAGACAGGTGAGACAGGAGAGTGACAGGTGAGAGACAGGTGAGACAGGTGAGACAGGAGAGTGACAGGTGAGACAGGAGAGTGACAGGTGAGACAGGTGAGACAGGTGAGAGAGACAGGTGAGTGACAGGTGAGACAGGAGAGTGACAGGAGAGAGACAGGGAGAGACAGGTGAGACAGGAGAGACAGGTGAGACAGGAGAGTGACAGGAGAGACAGGTGAGACAGAGACAGGTGAGACAGGTGAGACAGGTGAGACAGGTGAGACAGGTGAGACAGGAGAGTGACAGGAGAGACAGGAGAGACAGAGTGACAGGTGAGACAGGAGAGTGACAGGTGAGACAGGTGAGACAGGTGAGACAGGTGAGACAGGAGAGTGACAGGAGAGTGACAGGAGAGAGTGAGACAGGAGAGACAGGTGAGACAGGGAGAGACAGGTGAGAGGGAGACAGGTGAGACAGGTGAGACAGGTGAGACAGTGAGAGTGAGACAGGAGAGACAGGAGAGTGACAGGAGAGAGACAGGAGAGACAGGAGAGACAGGTGAGACAGGTGAGACAGGAGAGTGACAGGTGAGACAGGAGAGACAGAGAGTGAGACAGAGACAGAGACAGGAGGACAGGACAGAGAGACAGTGAGAGACAGGAGAGTGACAGGTGAGACAGGAGAGTGACAGGTGAGACAGGAGAGACAGGAGAGACAGGGAGAGACAGGAGAGACAGGTGAGACCAAACCTGTGTGTAACACACCTGTGTGTGAAACAAATCTGTGTGTGACACACACGTGTGTGTGACACAGGTGTGTGTGCATGTACATATTTGTCAGTGTCACACACAGTTTCAGTGTTGTTGTTCTTCAGCCCCAAAGACCAAAGACACTTTCAGACAAAAAGACTGTGTGTGTGGAGGTGACCTCTGACCTCTGTGTGTGGAGGTGACCTCTGACCTGTGACCTCTGTGTGTGGAGGTGACCTCTGACCTCTGTGTGTGGAGGTGACCTGTGACCTCTGTGTGTGGAGGTGACCTGTGACCTCTGTGTGTGGAGGTGACCTGTGACCTCTGTGTGTGGAGGTGACCTGTGACCTCTGTGTGTGGAGGTGACCTGTGACCTCTGACCTCTCGCTCCTGCAGGATCCTCCTCATCGTTCTCTTCCTCGTGATTCTTCTGCGACGCAGGAAAACGAAAACCACCAAAGCCACGAGAACCAAGACCAGGAGAAAACCCACGACCCCCACGGCCAAACCGAGGACCGAGAGTCACTGCAACAGAAGCACACTCAACCAGGACCGGACCAGGACCAGGACAGGACCAGGACCAGGACCACACTCAACCAGGACCGGACCAGGACCAGGACCAGGACCAGGACCGACAGACCAGGACTGGACCAGGACCAGGACCACCGGACCAGGACCAGGACAGGACCAGGACCAGGACCAGGACCAGGACCAGACAGACCAGGACCAGGACCAGGACACTCAGGACCAGGACCGGACCAGGACCAGGACCAGGACCAGGAACCAGGACCAGGACCAGGACCAGGACCAGGACCAGGACCAGGACCAGGACCAGGACCAGGACCAGGACCAGGACCAGGACCACACTCAACCAGGACCAGGACCAGGACCAGGACCGACCAGGACCAGGACCAGGACCAGGACCAGGAGGACCAGGAACCACCGGACCACACTGACCAGGACCAGGACCAGGACCAGGACCAGGACCACACTCAACCAGGACCGGACCAGGACCAGGACCAGGACCAGGACCAGGACCAGGACCAGGACCAGGACCAAGGACCAGGACCAACCAGGACCAGGACCGGACCAGGACCAGGGACCAGACCAGGACCAGGACCAGGACCAGGACCAGGACCACACAGGACCAGGACCACCAGGACCAGGACCAGGACCAGGACCGGACCAACCAGGACCGGACCGGACCAGGACCGGACCAGGACCAGGACCAGGACCAGGACCGGACCAGGACCACCGGACCAGGACCAGGACCAGGACCAGGACCGGACCAGGGACCAGGACCAGGACCAGGACCAGGACCAGGACCGGCCAGGACCAGGACCAGGACCAGGACCAGACCAGGACTCAGACCAGGACCGGACCAGGACCAGGACCAGGACCACACTCAACCAGGACCGGACCAGGACCGGACCAGGACCAGACCACCGGACCAGGACCAGGACCAGGACCGGACCAGGACCAGACCAGACCAGGACCAGGACCAGGACCAGGACCAGGACCAGGACCAGGACCAGGACCAGGACCACCACTCAGGACCAGGACCAGGACCAGACCCAGGACCAGGACCAGGACCAGGACCAGGACCAGGACCGCCAGGACCAGGGGACCAGGGGACCAGGACCAGGACCCCACGGACCAGGACCAGGACCACACCACCACCAGGACCGGACAGGACCAGGACAGGAGGACCAGGACCAGGACCAGGACCAGGACCGGGACCAGGACCAGGACCAGGACCAGGACCAGGACCAGGACCAGGACCAGGACCAGGACCAGGACCAGGTCTAAACAAAGTCTAAACCCGGACTAAACAGTAAACACAAACACAATAGTTTTTGAAACATGCAGATCCAGATTGTTGGTTTTGTTCTCGTGTGACACTGGAGCTGCTTCCTCTTTACTCGGGTCAATTCAAAAATTAAAGGAAATAAAAAATTCACACACAACAACAGACAAAAAAATACAAGACAAGAGTAAACCAGGACTAGACCAGGACTAAACCAGGACTAAACCAGGACTAAACCAGGACTAGGACTAGACCAGGACTAGACCAGGACTAGACCAGGACTAAACCAGGACCAGGAAACCAGGACTAACCAGGACAGGACTAAGACCAGACAGACCAGGACTAACCAAACCAGGACTAACCAGGACTAAACCAGGACTAAACCAGGACTAAACAGGACAGGACTAGACCCAGGACTAGACAGGACTAGACCAGGACTAAACCAGGACTAAACCAGGACTAAACCAGGACTGACCAGGACTAGAGCAGGACTAGAGCAGGACTAGAGAGGACTAGACCAGGACTAACCAGGACTAGAGCAGGACTAGACCAGGACCAGGACTAAACCAGGACTAAACCAGGACTAAACCAGGAGACCAGGACTAGAGCAGGACTAGGACTAAACCAGGACTAGACCAGGACTAGCAGGACCAGGACTAACCAGGACTAGGACTAACAGGACTAACAGGACAGGACTAGAGCAGGACTAGACCAGGACTAGACCAGGACTAGACCAGGACTAGAGCAGGACTAGAGCAGGGACTAGAGACCAGGACTAGACCAGGACTACCAGGACTAGAGCAGGACTAGAGCAGGACTAGGACTAGACTAGGACGGACTAACCAGGACTAAACCCAGGACTACCAGGACTAGAGCAGGACTAGAGCAGGACTAACCAGGACTAGACCAGGACTAGGGACACCAGGGACTAGATCCAGGACTAGACCAGGGACAGGACCAGACAGGATAGACCAGGACTAGAGCAGGACTAAACCAGGACTAGAGTAGGACTAGAGCAGGACTAGACCAGGACTAGAGCAGGACTAGAGCAGGACTAGAGCAGGACTGAGTCAGGTTGAGGGACTTACTCGACACAGTTGGACAGGCCGGGGCCGGTGCACCTGAGAACCAGAGGAAAAACTTTTATGAAACATTTTGTGCAGAATTTAAACATTTTAAACAAAAGTTGTTTTAGAAAAAATCTAATATTTAAAGTTTAAGGTTAAGTGGAGATATTTTTGGAGGATTTTAATATTGCTCCTGGTCACACACAGAGCTGCAGTTGTGTTTGTTTGAGTCTGTCTACATCTCCACCTTGTGATGTCATGAAGTGGTAGTTTAAGTTCTCAGCTCATTTTCCCTTTAGTTCAGTCAAGATTGGAAACTCCAGGACTGAAAAAAATTATCCAAATAATTCTAATGAAGGTGTGTGGAGTTTAAAAACACAGCGGAGCATGAAACAAAACACAACTCCAGGAAACCACATTAGAACAGAAGAGCAGAGGATTATGGGAC